AAGATGGAAAGATGGAAATTTATGTGTTAGACAACCTTTTTACTTGAAACTTACATTCAGTCTTGGACCAGAAGGTCTTTTCTTGCGGGATTCAAGCCTACAAAATCGGCATTGAAATACACTTACAACAAATTTGGGTCAAAGAACAGAACATTGATAGAGCTCAACTTGGAGTAGATTTACATAATTACAAAGCATGCTCGAAAAATCAAACAAACATGGCTTGTAAGCACAGTAAAACCACCCATTTTTTCCTACATAAAAACTGGTCTTGACAGGAAGAACAAAGATGGAGAAGGCTCTGTAAAGATATCCCTCACCACAAAACCAATCTTCCAATAGATAAATGTTCCAATATCTTCAACTGCTGATTACATTAACAAGTATAAATATATTAATCACGAGGGATACGTAGAGACCAGATCGTAGGATCGAAAAACCTAATTTCAACAAAATAAATACTCATTAATAGCATTTGAAACCACCAACTGACAGAGTCACAAACGATTTCATCCTGAACTGGAACAATCAATTCGAGAAAACTAACTTGAGGAAAAGAACAAATCAATGGTCAAAAACAGAAAACTACTTCTGTACTTCAGATTTTACACAACAAAGGCGCGAGATACCAGTCGGCGGAGAAGAAATCCGGTACGTCGGCAGCGGAGGCTCGAAAGCGTAGGCTCAGAGGTTTGGAGCAGTGGAAATGCGGAGATGCACAAAATGACGTCATCCCTTTGGTCCGCCCTCAGCCGTTCACGATTTCGACCATCAATCAAACGAGTGATGGCGGTGAAATATCGACGAAGTAGTGGCGCCGTTTACGTAATTGCAAGATTTTTGTTTGGAAAACGGCCGTTTAGATTTTTTTTTTTTCATTTTTGCCAGAACGATAGGGGATTTATATATAACTCAATAGAAAAGGGGTACAACACTAGTTCAGACTACAAATCTAAAGATAAAACTGAGAGGCACGCAAACATGCGACCTAGAAGGCTAGAACCTCAATAAAACAACTAGAAAAGAGAATAAAATCTAAGAAACTATGAACCTACCCACTGTCATAAGGCATAGCTAGGACTCAGTAGCTTCAACAAACAACACAAACTTAAAAGAGAAACAGAACATCAAACACCTATAGCAGCAGAGTAATCTTGCCAATCCTTGAGAGCAGCCTTGATGACAATGTGGATTGGCATGAGGGTGTGTTGGAAGACCCAGAGGTTCCTGGATTTCCAAAGCCACCATAACAAGTAGGTGGACAACTAGATTCTAGCCTCAGCCACCTCATTGTGCTTGAGAGTGCAGACTTGCTGCCACCACAGCTTGAAGGAGTGTGTAAGATTGTTCAAACCATCCCATTGCACTGGAGCCAATTCTCATAGCCTACTGGCTCTGTGACAGGAAAATAGAATATGTTCAGTAGTCTCTGCTCCTTCACCATAAATAGTGCAGATATCTTCAACATCTACTCCTTTATGAGTAAGAAGTGCAGCAATAGGTAAGGTGCCAGAAAGACATTTCCATAAGAAGTGTTTAACCTTACTCTGTATGTGCAGCTTCCAGCCTTTGAGAATGGGTGTCTGAGGGGCAGCTGAGTTGGAGCTGGTTTCTGGGATGTCAAGTTTGAGGATTTTTTGAGATGAGAGGTAGGAGTAAGTACTAGAAACAGAGAAGCATCCTTTTGCATCAAAGCCCCAATACTGCCTACTGCCTATCTTCCCTGTCAGGGTTGAGAGATCTAATTTTCAGGATTGCAGCATTGTCTTGGTCATTGAAAAGTTGTCTAACTAACCATTCATTTCAACTTTGACCATGTGGTAGCAGGAGTTCCTTAACCCATGTCAGATGCCCCTGTGCAATGTCAATCATATCAAGCTTTGGGTTGTTGAGGGTAGAAACCCAGTTCAATTCATCCACTTTTGTTGATGCTCCATTTTTTATTCCAGTCCTGAACCATTTGGCAAAAACCGGCAAGACAGTCATCCAACTGTTCCACATCCAGGACCCTTTGTGGGATTTCACAGCATTAAGAATGTTGCCATCTGGGAAATACCTGGCTTTCAAAAACTTGCTAACCAGAAGTTCAGGATTAGTTGCAACTCTCCATAACTGCTTGCATATGAGGGCATCATTGAACAACCTAATGTCAAGAAAACCAAGGACACCTTTTGATTTTGGTAGAGAGAGCAATTCCCATCTTTTCTAGTGAATACCTTTACTGTTTCCATCTCCAGATTGCCACCAGAAATGTGCACAGAGCTTTGAGATTTCATTGCATAGTGTGATGGGGAGCTTGAAACATGACATGGTGAAAATAGGAAGTGCTTGAATCACTGATTTGATCCGAACTTCTTTGCCAACTGATGTAAGAAGCTTGGACTTCCAGTTTTGCAGCTTCCCTTTGAGAGACTGGATGAGATAATCAAAAACTTCTTTTTTAGACCTACTAATGCCAAGAGGTAGGCATAAATATCTGGTGCTTCTGTGAGGTGTGATACCATTGAGAGCAGTGCAAATTGAAGTCTAAAGAACCTTAGATCAGTCCAGACTATAATGGTTTCTGAGCCTCAAATAAGTTTTATTCGAGAACCCTAGATCAATCCAGTCAGTCAGTATTAGTTTTTATCTGTCTTATTTGCCTTTTGTGAATTATTTGAATTATTTGATTATCTGAATCTATTTGTTTTTCCTGCTTTATCTGCTTATCTTTAATTCTGTAAATTGCGCTAGTTCCAATGATCATCTATAATAATAAGATAAAAATAGTTAACTGTAGATTAACGAGGAGCCGAGCCCTCACACAGAGCACGTGCATTACATATCATCCAGTCAGTAAGTTTAAAAGGTGGAGATTTTCCATGCCATGTTCTAATTCTTAATAATCGCAAGGTATTTATGGTTGATTTATGTATATGAGTTTTGCCTGAGAGCGAGTATCGCTCGTGAGTGGGTACCAGGATAGGATCTCCCATCGTGCGGGTTAGCGTTCCCGGCGGTAAAGGTGTGCACATGAGATAGGTCTGCCGTGTCATGCAGGTCAGTATCCCCGACCGGTAGACCAGCAGATGAGCCATGTTATGAGACAGTTTTTCGTGTCGTGCGGGTCATCTTTTTTCCCCTGCCGGCAGACTAATAGATGAGACCGTGTTTATTCATTTATATATTGATATCATCTATATCTATTATTATTACGGATAATTGCATAGTATGAATTATTGATGAGCACGTTGATTTTGCTCAGCTCCCACAATTATCTTTTTCAGGTTAGCAGCTGGTGCGGGACTCGAGAGGCAAAGGGGTGGTCATAGGTTATAATGCAATTTATTATTGCTTCCTCTATTGAACAGTTATTTTCTGAACATGTTATTATCAATTATTTTGAACATTCTTTGGATTATCAGATTCAGTATTTCAATTCAGTTATTAGACTAGTATCGATCGCTCTGCTATGTCTTAATAAATTGAACATGTTTTATGTCGGGATCAGATATCTTGAAATGATTAAAAGCAGACATGACAGTAAACCAGATACATGTTCAGTAAGTACCCTCAAAGCATGTTTTAAAAAGTTAAACGATTATCGAAAAAGTTCGATTCATTTTTCAAAAATTTTGATAATTTCAAAGTATAAGTAGAGGGTGTTTACACAACAACTCCTTAACTAACATAAAAAGAGAAAGGGACAAGCTCACGGCAAGGCTAAAGCTAAGAACCCGTAAGCAAGAAGCTCACTCAAAGACAACATTATTCAACCCCAAAAGGGGACCAAAAGCTGGTAGTAATATTAACTTGCCACTGAACTGAACCTGGAACCTTGCAAGCTAACAAAAGAACTAAGAGTACTAACAAGAAACTAAAAACTACCCTATACAACAAGAAAACTCAAGCCAATCAGTCAAAGCCAATCTAAGAGTTCTGAAACACCCCTAGATTATGGGTCTTCCACATCCATCATAATATGTAGCAAGAGAGCTGAATTCTATCCTCAGAGATGGGGTTGTGGTTGATGCTGCATAACTTGAGCTACCAATGTTTGAAACTACTACTTTCTTCTTGAAGTCCTTCCCAAGAGATGGGAGCTAGTTTCCAAATTATCTTGGTTCTTCTAGTTATGAGTTACTTTCTTCTAGTTATAATTTCTACTTTTCGTGTCACAAAATAATTCATGTGATTTAGGAGTATGTATTTATTTTTATATTTTAAATGATATTTGGTACATTCATTCTGAATTCTTAAACTTCACATAATTTAATCAAATGATATTTGGTAATTCAATCAATCATTCTTAAACTTCACATCAACTTTATTCATTATTCATCAACTCGCATAATTTAAACTAATCATCACTTCATCTTATCTCTCTTCTTCTTTTTTTCAGAATGGTAAAAATTTTATAGAAAAGCACATAAATACATCCAGAAAACAGTTCGACAGCTGACTGAAGCAGCTCTAGAGCGAAATCTAGTGGGAGTACAGATCCAAAGATTGACTAGAATCTACACTAGAACAAAACAGAACAAACGCACTCACAGACAACAAACGAAATAAAACCTAACTCCACAAGTGGAGAATAAAACTCACATACGTGAAAATACACACTCTCCTATGGGAGAATCACAAAACACAAAAACACAAAACACCAACATCACCACACCCAAACACAGAAACACAAGCACCAACAATACACAAACTAAACACTAAACAACTAAAAATAACTAAGGATAGACAAAGTCCTTAACTCAGCTGGCAAAACACACCAAGATCAACACAACGACAGCAACCCCGCCGACCACCTCAAAGGACCGGACCACTCCCTTAGACGTCGCTCCAGAAACTGCCAAAACACGTCTAACTAGAACCGCTTCCCAAGAAATCGACTCCGCGCCCAGACAGTCGATCCCGGCCCGCAGTTGGAGAACACCAACCTAACGCCTACCCCCCCTCCCCTCACACACACACAAAAACACAACCGCCTCCCCAAGCCCAATCCACACCACGGCCCGAGCTCGGAAACGCCGTTCGACCACTAACCCCGACACTAGGGGAGGAGAGGACACATGGGAGAAGGCCCGCCATCCTCCACCCCAATCGCAAGAGCCGCAACACCCCCGAAGAAGCACCACAACCACGCAAATGTCGAGAACCACTTTGGACACCATCTCTTCCAGTGCCGCAAAGGATATGCTCCGACACAGAATCGGGAAGAAAAACCGCGCAGCCCGAAGCCAACCACTGTCGAGAAGACCTGGCGCCGGCTTGGGAACGCACGACAATCTGGAATTAGAGAAGCAGAGAAAGCGGCGAAAATTTACGCGAGAGAGCCAAATCAACTTTAAATTATTTTATTTGATATATTATTTTAATATAAACTCAAAATTCCATTAACATGGGGTGTTCGCTTATAAAAAAATTCACTCACATTTAATCTATATTCAAAATATAACTCAACTGTAATTCAACCTCACCATCTTTAATCTTATTCATATAATTAAATAATAAAAACCAATCATTTTTACACATCACATCAACTTTAATAAACTATTCATCCGCTTACATAATTTTAACTAATTATCACTTCATATCATCTCTCTCCTACTTTTAATTCAAATCAACTTTAATTATTTTAGTTTAAATATTATTTTATTATAAACTCAAAATCCCACTAACAACTAATCATACAATATTTTTCAAAATTAACTCTAGTTAACAAAAAAAAAATCACCTTGGACGGATTAATTTGTAAACAAACGCGGCCGTAATCATACTAATTGTTTTAAAATTAATTATAATTAAAAAAAAACTCACTTTTGTGTGGATGTATTTGTATCAAACCTTTATTTATTTACTTATTTTTGTAAATTTGTCGTGATGCAATTGCCATTTCCAATTTGTTTGACTGCGACATGTTATGGCCGGCTATTGACTTTTCCAACTCTATTATTTTGCTAAAAACTGTTAATGCAGGTTCCATCTTTTTTCCATGTGCGTGCGCAGAGAGTGCTGTGCATCATCACAAACTTATATATATATACATCTTTTAAGAGTGGAATATTTTGTTCAGTTTTATGTTACTAGAAATCGGTCGTTTATTTATACGAGTTACGACTTTACGCTAAGGTTTTTCTACTTATGCATATCTTTTTCAAGTTTTGAATTTCCTTTGTTTTCTTTGTCCAACTGTTGAAGCAAATCCATTACTGCTGGAAAGTTATGACATAATTTGAAAGGGAGGCCTACAAAATCCATAAACCTTCTCCTTCAAAATCAAATATGACCCACCCTGTAACTATTCTCTGTTGCATTTTAATACGTTTTTAAGTAAAAATAACAATCATACTATCCAAAAATTAAATTTTGTTGAAGGGTACGACAAATATTTCTATTCCTAAACTGTACATAGAACCATACAACACAGATTCAAAAAATCACTCAATTTCTCTCTCCATCTCTCTTTTCCCCTTCTGCCTGAAAACCTCAGCCTTCATACAACAGGGTTCTCCGATAAAACTGGAGACACAAAAAAGGGTTCTTAATATCCATTCNGAAGAAAGATTTGATTTTTATGGCGTTGCTAATTGAATCTAGTGCTCCTCTTTTATCGTGACACTCATTTTCAGATCCAGTATAAACTCCTATTCTAATTCCATATAGTTCTCTTTGCAGTTTTCCCAATCACATTCTCATTCAATTTCACGAAATTTCAATTGCATCAATATTCAGATCCCCATTAACCCACTCAATTTTATTTTCTCTCCAGAATTTCAAGATTTGGTGAAGAAAAAAAAAAAGATGAGCGAAACAAAAGGAAGCAGCAGCACGCCATTAACGACCTCCTGCAAGCTCCCAGATTTCAAACAATCAGTAAAGCTCAAGTACGTAAAACTTGGTTACCATTACCTCATAACCCATGGAATGTTCCTTTTCCTCTCCCCACTGCTCGTAATAATCGCTGCACAGCTTTCCACCTTCTCCCTAAACGACCTCAACCTCCTGTGGGACCATCTCCGCTTCAACCTCATCTCCATAATCCTCTGCTCAGCCCTTTTAGTCTTCCTCTCCACTCTCTACTTCCTCACTCGCCCAAATCCCATTTATCTCGTCAATTTCTCCTGCTACAAACCCAATCCCGACCGAAAATGCACTCGTCAAATCTTCATGGAAAGATCCAAGCTCACGGGCTCGTTCACCGAGTCAAACCTCGATTTTCAACGCAAGATTCTCGAGCGTTCGGGCCTCGGCGAATCCACTTACCTTCCGGAAGCCGTACTTCGAGTCCCTCCAAATCCGTGCATGGCCGAGGCCAGAAAGGAAGCCGAAGCCGTCATGTTCGGCGCCATAGACGAGCTTCTCGAGAAAACTTCACTAAAACCGAAAGACATTGGAATCTTGATCGTTAATTGTAGTCTTTTTAACCCTACGCCTTCTTTATCGGCTATGGTTATTAATCATTACAAGCTTAGGGGGAATATTTTAAGCTATAATCTCGGGGGAATGGGCTGTAGCGCGGGCTTGATCTCGATCGACCTCGCTAAAGATCTTTTGCAGGTTCACCCGAATACTTACGCGTTAGTCGTCAGTATGGAGAATATCACGCTCAATTGGTATTTCGGTAATGAAAGGTCGATGCTTGTTTCGAACTGTCTTTTTCGTATGGGTGGAGCCGCCATATTGCTTTCGAACAAAAGGTCTGAGTATTGGCGGGCAAAGTACCGATTAGTCCACACTGTTCGAACGCATAAAGGCTCAGACGAGAAGTGTTTTTCTTGCGTGACTCAAATGGAGGATTCGAATGGGAAAATCGGGGTTTCGCTATCGAAGGATTTGATGGCGGTGGCTGGGGATGCTTTAAAGACTAATATTACAACACTTGGCCCGCTTGTCTTGCCTATGTCCGAGCAGCTTCTGTTCTTGGCGACTTTGGTTAGGAGAAAGATGTTTAAAAAGAAGGTGAAGCCTTACATACCTGATTTTAAACTTGCGTTTGAGCATTTTTGTATACATGCGGGTGGGAGGGCTGTGCTGGATGAGCTGGAGAAGAATCTGCAGCTTTCGGAATGGCATATGGAGCCGTCGAGGATGACTCTGTATAGGTTTGGTAATACGTCGAGCAGTTCGCTTTGGTATGAGCTGGCGTATATGGAAGCGAAAGGGAGGGTGAAGAGAGGGGACAGGACATGGCAGATTGCGTTTGGTTCGGGATTTAAGTGCAACAGTGCTGTTTGGAAAGCCCTGCGAACGATAAAGCCGGGTGAAGAGAAGAGCCCGTGGATTGATGAGATTGAGCAGTTTCCTGTTGAGGTGCCTAAGGTAGCAGCTATTTAGTCGGTTGGTAGTGTGTGCTTAAGTCGCGGTTTATTGTTTTAGCTTCTTTCCTATTTTCATTTATTTATTTGGTTTTTTGGGGATGGGAGAAGCTAAGGTGAATTTGTTGTTTTGATGTTAATGGATATTCTTCTGGACTGTGAAGAGGTATGGCTGTTGAGTCTGAGATAAACCTGTAGGACATGTGATGCTAGAGTTCTTGTTTCAAGACTTCTTTACAGAGCAGTTGGTGCTTAATGTGTACCCCTTCATCTTGATATAGGCTTATCATTGAAGAGATTTAGCAGATGTGGTGGATTTTATGATCAGAATATGTTTGCTATCTTTCGAATACGCTATTATCAGAGTAAACTTTGAAAAATTCTCTCTGGACTGCTGTCTAATGTCTGAAACAATGTACCACCATTGACATCAAATACCTTACTACAACTTTTATAGTGCGAAACCCTCCGCCAATGCAAGACAGAATCGTTATTTCAGTCAAAAACACTAGATATATAATTACAACAAAAATGACATGATAAAACAAAATTAGAAAATAGACAAATTTAGAACATGAAATGAGTTTCATACTTCACATAAAACAAACACTATGTCCATGTAGCAAAAGAGCTTTTTCTGCCGCGACACATTTGAAATCAGTCAATCAGAAGCCTCTATAACACATGCAACACAATCGCGCAAGCGGAAGCTTCATACGCCATTCACAGCACAGACACAATATAGAGAAAAAAAAGAGAAAAAAAAAAAGAAAGAAAGAAAAACGTAAGGCAGAATGTCTTAACTCCGTTCAATTGCCAAGTCAAATACGTGATCTTCTTTTTATTCCTTGGAAGACTTGTTGATGAGGGACTTGTGTATATGGGGGATGACACCACCACCAGCAATGGTTCCTTTGATGAGGGTATCAAGCTCCTCATCACCACGTATGGCCAGCTGCAGATGACGTGGCGTGATACGCTTCACCTTCAAATCCTTGCTGGCGTTTCCCGCCAATTCCAGAACCTCAGCTGTTAGGTACTCCAAAATGGCAGCTGAGTAGACAGCTGCCGTAGCACCCACTCGCCCATGGGCCATTGCTCGTTCTTTCAGAAGTCGGTGGATACGCCCCACTGGGAACTGACAGAGGGAAAATAAAAGAGAATGAAAAGGTATACATATATATATTGGTGAAAAAATATAATATACATAACTAATAACAAATCTAGACCTTATTAAAAGTCGAGCAACAAGAAAGCCAGAAAGGGTTCTTCGCAACAATTTGATCAGGTTTCTCAAATGTTGCCTGAGCTAACTAATAAGACAATCAACTATGGCCCAAGTGAAAATTTTCTACAGAGATGATAGACGATTGACTATTAAAGTACTTTAACAAATCACGATTCTGTAATGTGTAGAATTAAGAGTTTTAATAAATAAGTGATACTGAGATAACATGAACAAAACAAGAATATGGTAACACCCACATGACTGCATCATTTTGTACGGTGCAGATGCGATTTTTGCTGTGAGCCATGTTTGCTGCAGGATATGCTTTAAAGAGAAAGGCAATTCATTTCTGATGATTCAAATTTTAGAGTTCAAGCACAAGCTCCAAAAGGTTAAGTTTAGCATATGGTGCGAACTTGTTTAACGCCAGATAGCTTAAACCACAATAAGACTAAACAGCGTATTAGGAAATTAATGAACTTTAAGTCCATGACTTAACTATTGCCCTTCAGTAAAACCTTATGTTGTAGGTATCCATGGACTAGTGCAGTTTTGTTCGGAGAATTATTTACAGGAAATCATCTATATGAGCAAGAAAAATCATGCAACACAAAATAAATGTTTTCAGTTTTATCTTTAAATAATATATATAGACAATGATGAAAAAGAATTGTTATATAAGTTATCACAGGTCACTTGATTAAAGTTCCAAAACCAAAATCAAAATTCTATTGCCTAACTCAATCAGTATATGTCGTACAATCCATTTGGGTTGCAGCTGTGAAAGATCAACCCCAATTTGTTCAAATCCCATTCACATTGTATAAATTTTAAATAACCACTTGTTCTTCTTTTTCCAGGCACAGCACGAAAGTAACAATCGGGAAAAATAAAAAGGAAACTCAACTAAATTAAGCTTTAAGCCTTCACTGCAAATACAATCCAGAAGAAATTTAGCAGGAAAACAATAGCGAGTCCTATTCAGTATATAATCAACACATAAAACTCTCACTCTCAAGAGAAAGGCCCGTACAAGAAAAGCAAAACAGGAATAGAAAAATAAAAGGACCCCTGCAAATTCACCCACGGTTCAAAAGCAGAAATAGAGAAATCAACACAACCCGAATTACCATATGAAGCAGAGCACAATCCATCACTTCCAGTCTCAATTTTTAGAAAAAAAACCGCAAATTGAAAATTAACAGAAAGACAAGCAACGCCGCGGAAAAATGATTTAAAAGAAAGAATTTGACGGAGAAATGAGGGAGAGAAAACCTGAAGTCCAGCTCGAGAAGAACGAGAAGTTGGTTTCTTCTTGGTGTCCTTATCTTTGTCCTTTGACGCGAGGTTTTTCCCCGTCAACAATCCCTTGGCCCCTTTCCCCGACATTTTTACCTCAGATCTGAGAAAATTATCCCGCAACTGCTTAAATCGGAAGGGTATTTGTTGGATACGAAACCGATGCGAGGGTCCAAGTACAACGTTTGGGTTGGGATTTTGAAGGGCCGATTGACTCCATTTAATCTAATCAAATGTCTTTAAAAATATAGGAATTTACACTCCTTACCATCATATATTATGATTTATATTACACTTATACACTAAATTTAACTTTATTTATAAAATAACTAAATTAACTACAAAATATTACAAATATACCTAATATCCAATTCAACAGTTTTATGATATTTTTGGACAAATTAAATGTGATTGGATCATTAATTGGTAAGATATATTATTACCAAACATCAAGGAGATATTATATCTCTTTGCAAAACCGCCTACGATCTCCAATCTTATGCTAAAAACTTCATTCTTTTCCCCAATTTTTCTCAACGGCGACAGCAAAAATCCCCATCTCTACTAGGAAAAAAAAAAACAACAAACGGTGGGCGGAGACTGGCGGCGGGCGGCGGCGGTTATGGGCTGCCGATAGAGTGCTCGTCCAGGCCAGAAGTCCACGCAGCATCACATGAAGACACGCCTACGCAAGACTTGGCCCTAGAACATCAAGGAGAATCGGACGATCAAGGAGATTAACGAGCAAGTGAAAAAAGAGGTCGAGAAAGGGGAAGTGGAGAATCGGACGATCCGCAAGGAAGGAGCGACCTTGGCCTTGTTCGGTGAGAAAATCGGCAGAGAGATGGCAAGGAAGGAGCAAACTTTGTTGTTGTTATCGTTGTTCGTATTTGTTTGTGAGTTTTAATTACATAATCTAATCCTTGTTGGGCACTCTGTTTCTTCAAGGGTTTGTGATGAATTAAGAACAACGAACTTTTCTTGTTAGGATCGAAAAATTAGAGGCCAAGCTTAGAAGCTTTGGAGTGCTTTTCTGTTATTTTTTTTTCCAGATATTATATTTAAATTATACCTTTCTGCCAAAATACTTGTTACATTCTAATGCAAAACATTGGAGTTTGTGGTTGTTGTCTGTGTAGAAACTTTCCTGCTTATCTGTTTTGAGATCATTGGGTTAATTAAGAAAAGGTTAAATTTCACAAAACTCCCTTGTGTTTACAAAATGTGTGCGTTTCCCTACTGTATTTTAAAAAATGCGTCAGACCCCCTCATTTTGTATAGGTTGCGGGTATATGTTGTGTATATATGGAGTATATATTATGTATAATATAAGGGTGTATGGTTTATATTGACAAAGCATAAATTGATTATTTTTTTATATGTATAGTTTATATTCAGTATATTTTCGGTATAAGATAAAGAAATTTATCGCGAAACATAATTTTTATTTATAAGATCAATTTATATTTAGCATAAACTGAATTTTTTTGTTGGTGTTGTGTATATGTATGATTTTATATTAAAAAATCTGTTATAATATGTTTTTAAACCATATACTGAATATATACTAATATAAAAGAAAAAAAGAGGAAGATACAATTTTTGAGGGAATACATTTTTTTCATTGCAACATATATTGAATATATACTAACATAAACGCAATATATACCAGCCGCGTGAATTAAGGAATTCCAGTTGCACACACATACTGAATATATACTAACATAAACTCAATATATATCACCTGAGAGCTATGTGAATTAAGGAATTCCAGTTGCACACATATACTCAATATATACTAACATAAACTCAATATATACCACCTGAGAGCTGCGTGAATTAAAAAATTCCAGTTGCGGGAATTAAGGAATTAAATGAGTAAATCACGCCACCAAAGGATAACTGATATGGATAGAGGAAGTTACAAAAGGTAACTGATATTTAGACAATCACGTAAATAAAATAGCTTGATTAGGTATATATCCTATTAATTGTTCTAGGAAGGTAAAATTGAAAATTCTTTTATTTCATGTAGTATGTGTAAAAATTTCCCAAAATAGGGTTAAAAACTATTTCCAAATTATCACGATTTTGACGCATCACCATATGCATTTTTTTTTTACAAACTACCATCTAAACTACACGGGCTTATCAAATTACCCCCTAAACTGGAAGTAAAAGTGGTTTTGACTAAAAAAAACTAATATTTGAGGGTATTTTTGTAATTTCATAAATATTTTTTTTAAAAAAATGAAAATGAAAAATGAAGGAAACAAAAATGGGCCTCCCCAACCATCATCATGTATAATAAATTGGAAAAGAAGTTAGTCGCAGAATGGAAAAAAAAAAATGGTTGAACGAGAATTCATTTTCATGTTTCATTTTTAACTGCCCGACCAGCTATCACACCATGAACAGGAAAAAAAATGACCCATGCTATCGCACCATGAACGAGAAAAAAGAAAATGAAAATTGAACGCTCAGCCGTAAAGCCTACTGAAATCTTCGGCCAGCACCTTCACGTTGATTGGACCTCACGGCCTTACTTTTATTGTCTGTTCACCATTCTGGTCATCTTCCTCGCAACAACATTCGTGCTTCCGATCAGCAATGCTTGTCGTTGCCGGCGCTCCACTCGCAGCCTCAGCCCGACACTTAACCTACATAGATCTCGCACAGCCACCTCCGGCACCCGATTTGGTAGCAGCAGTTCTACGATCATCAACTAATTGTTTCTTGACATAATCAAATATTAATAATTAGTTGTTCATTAATGTGATAAGATCTTTTATTCTGCTGCTTAAGTCATGGTAGAAATTTTACAAGAAAAGTAATAAGCCAGGTTTGATTAATATATATGATCTTGCACGTATAACCACCAGAAGTCCAAAATATCAGATTTTGAAAACTAATTACATTTTGGAAATTGTTATAAAAACAAAAGTTATATATATATATATAGGGGTTGGTTCAAATAAAAACTAATCCTGGTATGAGAACCGTAAAAACTATATTTGATGCTACTTTCAATTGTGTATGATGCTATTTTTAATCATACATGGTGCTATCATTTTTAAAAATGTTAACATAAATTGTGTTGCTATTTTTAATAAAATACATCCTGATTAAAAATAACACTAAAATACAATCAATCATAGCACTAGATACAATTAAAAATAGCGATTCTCACGGTTCTCACGCTAGGACTTGTTTCTTATTTGAACCACTATATATTACGGNATAGTATCTCACTCAACTGCATTTGAAAAAGGGAATTAGGAGTGTGTGCATATGTGTGTAACTGGGTGCAATGATAATGATAAGGGAATTAAGAAGAGAAAAGGAAAAGCACATGCAGTGAAGTACCAATATTCCAAGCATCTTCCTGTTTGATTCTGGTTACTTTCAGCATCTTTCACGGTGTTGTACATAAATATATCCGTTTAAAATATTTTCTTTAGGTAAACATAGTTGATTTAAAAAGGGTGGCATAGTTAATTGTTAATAAGATTTTAAGTTTATATTAAAATAATTAAAGTTAATTTGATATAAAAGTATGAGAAATAATGTGAACTGATGTAAAAATGATGTGAATTGATGGTTAGTTAAAATTATGTGAGTAGATGAATAGTGAATTAAAGTTGATGTGATGTATAAGAATAATTGATTGATATTATTTAATTATATTGATAATATTGATGATAATATGGTTGAGTTAAAGTTAATTAAATTTTAAGTATGAATTAAATATGAATTGATTTATTTTATAAACAAACACAATCTTAATATTTTGAAAAGGCAGCAAGAATTCCCCTTCTATCTCTCATCTCTTTTTTGCAGATGGTTCAATCATCTTCTGCAAACCTGACTCTGTTCATGCTTCTCTTATCTCTAGTATTTTGAATCTTTATGGGTTGAATTTTGGTCAAAAAGTCAATCTGGACAAGTCTTCAGTTTTTTTTTTTTCTCTAAAAGCACCCCTTTAGCTATTAAGGTAAGCATTTGCTCTATTCTTACTAGGCTTTCTGTTGTTAGCTCCACAATGTATTTTGGTTTGCCTTTAGATTTCGGAAAAACTAAAAATAAAAACTTTTAGTTTTGTTTTAAAGTGTTATCAGCAAGATTGGGAGTTGGAAAAATATATTTCTTATTGAGGTTGGGAAAGAAACCTTCAAAACTGTTTTAAAGCTCTTCCTATCTTTGTGATATCTTGTTTTAAGCTTTCTATAATGGTTTGTCATGAAATTTGCAGGGCTACTGATACCTTCTGGTGGGGTGCAAATGAGGTTGGTCACAAGAGGATACACTAGGCTTTCTGGGACAAACTAAATAAGCCAAAGGAGCAAGGAGGGCTAGGTTTCAAATGTCTAATGTCTTTTAATGAGACTCTCTTGACAAATAAGCTTTAGAGGGTCAAAACTCAGCCCAACCTGTAGATATCCAGGGATTTGAAAGGGAAGTACTTCCTTAAGGGAGATATCATGGATGCTTATCATAAAACTTTAGACTCTTGGCTCTGGAGTTCTTCGCTCAGAATCAAACCAATTCTGAGCAAAGGGATCTTGTTTCAGATAGGATATGCGAGGAGCATTTCCAGTTGGAATGACCCTTGGGTCCCAGGTTTGCCTGATAGGAGGCCTTTTTGTGCATTTGTTAGTGATAAAGCTAGGTTGAATAAGGTGAGCGATCTTTTTATCTTTGGTGGTATTGGTTGGGATTCTGAGCTTATTGATAAATCCTTTTCCCCTTAGGAGGCTGCAACTATTCATACGCTTCCTCTTCTAAGATTAAAGAAGAAGGATAAATTTGTTAAAATATCAACACCTTCTTTTGGGAAGGACCCGGAAGCATCTAGAACAATTCGGAAAAATGTGGAACGTCGTGGAACATTGTGGCAGGTTCCGGAGGCATCTAGAACGACCCGGAAAAATGTGGAAGGTTCCGGAATATTGTAGAAGGATCTAGAAGCTTGAGGAAGCTAGTTGAAGGATGTAGAAGATTCTAGAAGGTAATAGAGATTACTAGAATGTTGTAGAATATTGTAGGAACTAGACTTATATAGATAAGTCTAGAACAATGTACATAATATTAGTAAGTTTTAGAATAGTCTAGAAGAGGCAAGAGTGTTAGGGAAACCTCATGAGTGTAGCTAGTTCTAGATAGCTCATTAGAGGAGAGTTGTCTATAAATAGGCAAGACCACCTCATTTGCAATGAACCCCAATA